GTGAGTGAGTGTGTGTGAGTGTGTATGTGAGTGAGTGTGTGTGACTGTGTGTGAGTATATATGAGTGAGTGAGTGAGTGTGTGTGTGTGCACGCACACATATGCAAGGACACATTTGGCACAGCGCATGTGCATGTGTGGAAGTCAGAGGACAGCTTTCAGGGTCACCTTCCAAGGCCTGTCTTGTTTCTGCTGTTGCACCAGCTACTCTAGACTTAGCTGGCCTGGGAGCTGCTGGGAGCTGTCCTGTCTGCACCCCGCCCCCACCTCTCCGCTATAGCATGGTGGGATTCCAGATGCTTGGCCTTTCATCCTGATTGTTTTTTTTTTTAAAATGTGAGTTCCTATATGGGACCCAGGTCGCACAGCAAGTACTTTCCTGTCCCCGCCCCTGAGCCACACCCCTGGCCCTGCTCACTCTTGTCAGCAAATGAATGCTCAGACACAACCTAGCCTGCTTTCTGAATTTTCTAGAGCAAAGCTGTTCTTGAGGCATGACTGCCACCGCAGCCTCCTCCCCAGCCCCTCCCCCACTTTCTCTTTCTTCCCCCATCTTCGTCTCATTCTCCTCCCCATCCTCTTTTTTCTTCCTCTACATCTCTTTCTTCTCTGCTCTCTCCTCCCCTTCACCTCCATCTCTCCCAGTTCTAGCTGCTTCTTATCCAAGCCCAAGGAAGTCAGCTCTCTGGAAACTGTCAGGCCCCACAGTCTTTGTAAGGCGGCCTCTGGGCTCCATGGCTGCCTACAGCATCCAAGCTGTGGAGAAGCGGAAGCCGCAGTGACGCCTGGCACTGAGGTGACCCCGTCTCCAGTCCCATCCAGGGCTTTATGTTCGCCTCCCCCACCCCAGCACCAAGAAATATTTACAGATGCTGCCTGGGCTGAGAAAGCTGCTGCTGTATTTCTAAGATTCCAACTGTAGAGCAAAATTAAGAAGCACCATATTTATTTCAAAAGCATGACTCATTTTCCTGAGTTTCCCAGCATTCTTTGTACATGCATGGTTCTTCTAATGCTTTAAAATGTTGGTCTAAAATAAAACAAAACCTAACAATAGCATCGTTTACCATTTGAGGAAGGATAACAAGGAGCAGGAAAACCTGTGTATGCATCTGTGTACACATGTGTGTTATGGTGGGACGGTGTCCACAGTACATGGTTAAATGACGGTTGAAAGCACAGAAGAGAGTATGTAGTACAATTGTGGTTCTGTTAAATGAACACCTTTTGTTGAGGCAGGTTCTTAAGTGTAGCCCTGGCTGGCTGGAACTCGCTGTGTAGATCAGGCTGGCCTCTCACTTGCAGGGCACCATCCATCTCTGCCTCCTGAGTGCTAGAATTAAAGATGTGATCTCCACTCCCAATGGGAATGACTAATTTTTTTTCCTAAATTGAAAATTTTTTTCAGACAATATAGTCTGATCATGGTTTCCCTTCCCTCATCTCCTCCCAAATTATTCCCTACTTCCCCCTCGATCCAACCCCAAGCCTTCTTTCTCTCTCTCTTTAGAGAACAAACATGCAAACAATTGAACAAATAAACCAGAATAAAACAAACAAAAAACACAAGAAATACTCTTAAATGTGATTTGTGTACCCAGTGAGACTCCATTGGAGTAAACTAGTTTTTCCTTTGCCAGCAGTTGTGGATTGCGGATAGCTTCTCAGTTGGAGATGGGAGCTGTGTCCCCCTCCCCCTCCCCAGTGCTGGGGTCCCATCTGGCTTGAACCTGTGTTAGGCCCTGTACATGCTGTCACTGTCTCTGTGGGTTCATGGGTGTGGCTGTCCTGTGTGTCTGGAAGACACTGTTTCCTTGGTATCATCCATCCTCTGTGGCTCTTACAATCTTTCCACCTCCTCTTCCACAAGTTCCCTGAGCTCTGAGGTGCAAAGTGTGATGGAGACATCGCATTTAGGGTTGGTGGTTCCAGAGTCACTCACTCTGCACATTGCTCAGTTGTGGGTCTCAGTGTTAGTTCTCCAATGACAGCTGGAGGAGACACTGGTCTATGAGTGGAGCAGAATGTCATTTGAAGTGATTTTATTGCTATGTTCCTTTAGCAAAATATGGTATTTGGTCTTCTTGTAGACCCATGTCTTTTCTAGTCTCAGGTTCTTGGGCACCTGAACAGTGTCAGACAAGGGTTCTGTCTCATGAGGCTTTAAATTCAATCAGATAATGGTTGATTACTTCCGCAACTTATATGACACTTTGGCAGCTGTGCCTCATACAAATAGGTCACCACTGGAGATCATAGGTTTTATACCTGGGTTGGTGTTTACATTTCTCCTCTGGTAGTTTGCTTTCCAGTACCATGAACACTTGTCAGTAGAGGGGTAAAGGTTCTATTTAGATATCAGCTCAACATGTTGGCATTCAATGAAATATGTAGGTGTTGTCTTCTGCAATAGGGCCTTACCATTCGGTTGTGCAACCAATAGCCTTGGCAATAGCCTGAGTTTGGAGGTGTTTCTATGAGGCCCCCTTTGGCCAACAACTCAATTAGATACAACCCGTTCCTGGTTAGAGGATAATAGAGGGTAATAATAGAGGTTTTATTTGGTAGAGAGAAATGTCTAGTTGGGGCATTGTCTTCCCCATTATTTGGCGACTCCATTTAGGTGTCTTTCACACATGTATGCATTTTAAGAAGCTTCTACTGTAGTTGGCTTCCATATGACCCCCTCCAATGGCCCTTAGTTGTCCCTCCCTGCCTTCTCTCCCTTACTCCCCTCTTCCAACTCTTAGTAACACCTTACACATACCTAGAAAATGTGTGAAAAGACACACAACACATAATCTCCTCCTTCCCTTGAAAAGGGTGCTCAAAGAAAAGGGTGATAAGAACATTTTATATTTGTACGTCTTACAGTTCGCTGTAGTCATGATAATATTTTTAAAGGCTTGTATCATGTGCAAAATTAGAACCAAATGCCTGCGTTGAGTCAGTGCCAAGGAGAGCTGTCCGGAGGAGTAAGCAGGGGAGACGTAGACTGGTCAGGGCTAAAGTTGCTAGTTTTAATTTGTTTATTTTGTAGATTCTGTCAATGATTGCCATATGTAAAAGATGAGATGCAAAACAAAATGATGACAATGAAATTATTAAAAGTTCTGCAGTTTCTTCTTATTTGGGGGGTTTGGAATAGAACCAGAGTGTTCGAGGTAGCACTAAGTCACTGTTGATCATATCTTCGTTGTTTAGAGGCACAGAAGACGAGAAGCCATTTAGTAGTGTGAGCTGACAACAAGCTCCAGGCTCATTGCTGGCTCCTGGCAGCCGCTTTTGGCTGAGTGAGCACAAGCCGTTCAAGCTGTGCCCTACTTTGTCCCTCACAGTGGGAAACAACCGTGGTGCCTGGTTGCCCCCTGAAGTTGTAATTATTTGAAACAATTTGAGAGCCAGGAAGACAATCCAATCGAAGCATTTTCTCAGAAAGTTTGTTATATATGAAGCAGCCCCAAGTATTTTATTTAGAAGAAATATTTTGCCGTGTGTGTGCGTTGGTTCAAGTGTGTTCCTCGTTTTTTTTATTGTTCTTGAGACAGGGTCTCATGACATGTAGCCCGAGATTGTTACCTTGCATGGTTTGTTGAGCTGCTCTGGGATCAAGTCCGTGGGCAGAACTGGAGAGGACCTGGGCTGGGCTGGGCTGCCAGCTAGCACAGCACAGCCTGAGGAGGCTTTGAGTCCATGGCTCCCTGCTGTCCCAGGACTTTGGGAGTGAATCCATCTAAATGTCTAAACCCCAGCAGCCACCTGCTAACCATAAGCAAGCCAGGGAGGTCTGAGTTTTGTTTTTAATATTTGTGAACATTCCTGCTGACCTCCTGTGTATGTTACTCGCTCTGTAACCTCTTACCATTGTAAAAATGCATAATAATGCTTGGAGTAACTTTGAGCTGATTTGCTTGTACAGAACAGTTAAGGCAACATCAATAAAACTTAGCTTTCAAAATTAAAAATACTTCCAATTTACACAAATGACATTCTTAATTATATATATTTTAAAAGACACTATATAATATATAATATTATATATTATATTAAATATATATTTAAAGCCAGTAACTTGGATATCTATTATTACATTATATAATATATTTGTGAACTGAAACCCTGCTGGAACACATGCCCAGGCCTCTGGCTTCCCACTACTGTTTCTGGTTCACACATTCTCTTGGAAGCTTGTGACCATTGAACCAATCACTGCTGTTTCTTTCTGAGCATAAGTAAGCAAACAGTGCAGCCAGCTGGGTGGAAAACATTGGGTCTCATCTCTGCAGAACTTGTTCTAACTGCCGATGGTTGCCTCCTGTGCATGACTGTGTGTATAGTTAGTTTACATCTCCATAGCGACGCATGCATTGGCTGGTCTAAAAATTCCTACCATAGAAATACTGTTGGGGAAGGAGGAGGAGAGATGGCTCACAGATTAAGAGGCATGCTGCTCTTCCAAAGGACCTGAGTTCAATTCCCAGCACCCACATCAGGTGTCTCACAACCTCCCTGTCTTAATTAGGTTTCTTTATTTTTTATTGATTTTTATTGAGCTCTACATTTTTCTCTGCTCCCCTCCCTGCCTCTCCCCTCCCCGCTTCAGCCCTTCCCCAAGGTCCCCATGATCCCAATTTCCTCAGGAGATCTTGTCTTCTACTTTCTACTTCCCATGTAGATTAGATCTATGTAAGTCTCTCTTAGTGTCTTCATTGTTGTCTAAGTTCTCTGGGATTGTGGTTTGTAGGTTGGTTTTCTTTGCTTTATGTTTAAAAAGCACCTATGAGTTGAGTACATGTGATAATTGTCTTTCTGTGTCTGGGTTACCTCACTCAAAATAATGTTTTCTAGCTCCATCCTTAATTAGGTTTTTATTGCTTCAGTGAAACACTGTGACCAAAGAGCAAGTTGGGGAGGAAAGGGTTGATTTGGCTTACACTTCCACTATATTGTCCATCATTGGAGGAAGTCAAGACAGGAACTCAAGCAGGGCAGTAACCTGTAGCCAGGAAGGGTACTGAGGCCATAGAGGGGTGCTGCTTACTGGCTTACTCATCAGAGCTTGCTCCGTCTTTCTTTTCTTTCTTTCTTCCTTCCTTCCTTCCTTCTATCCTTCCTTCCTTCCTTCCTTCCCTCCCTCCCTCCCTCCCTCTCTCCCTCCTTTCTTTCTTTCTTTCTTTTTTTTTTTTTTTAGACAGGCTTTCTCTCTATAACAGCTGTAGCTGTCCTGGAACTAGCTCTTGTAGACTAGGCTTGCCTCAAGCTTACAGAGATCTGCCTGTCTCTGCCTCCCAAGTGCTAGGATTAAAGGCATGCATCACCACTGCCTGACTTCAACCTACTTCTTATAGAATCCAGGACCACCATCCCAGGAATATACCACCCACACTGAGTTCTCCCCCATCAGTCATTAATTATGAAAATTTCTTACAGCTGGATCTTATGGGGGGGGGCGTTTCCTCAACTGAGTGAGGTTCCCTCCTTTGAGGTGATTCTAGCTTGTGTCAAGTTGACATAGAATCAGCCAGGACAACCCTGTGACTCAGCTCTAGGAGGATCCAACAACACTGATCTTTACAGGCACCCAGACTCACATAGGTGTGCAGGCGCTCACAGTGCATGCTCACACACTCCCATATACACATATTCCCACATGTGGATACATGCACGTGCACACGTGCTAGCTCTTGTGACTGAAGAAAAATTAGAGCTGAGGTAAGAGAGTCATGTATAGGTGTTCATGTGTGAGCATAGATGTTAAGTTCTTACCATAGGTGTTCATGTATGAGCGTAGGTGTTAAGTTCTTACCATGGGTGTTCATGTGTAAGCATAGATGTTAAGTTCTTACCATGGGTGTTCATGTGTGAGCGTAGATGTTAAGTTCTTACCATGGGTGTTCATGTGTGAGCATAGATGTTAAGTTCTTACCATGGGTGTTCATGTGTGAGCGTAGATGTTAAGTTCTTACCATGGGTGTTCATGTGTGAGCGTAGATGTTAAGTTCTTACCATGGGTGTTAATGTGTGAGCATAGATGTTAAGTTCTTACCATGGGTGTTCATGTGTGAGCGTAGATGTTAAGTTCTTACCATGGGTGTTCATGTGTGAGCGTAGATGTTAAGTTCTTACCATAGGTGTTCATGTGTAAGCATAGATGTTAAGTTCTTACCATGGGTGTTCATGTGTGAGCGTAGATGTTAAGTTCCGCACCTGTAGACATTTCTGAAAGGCACCTGTTACTATCCCCAGGGCAGAAAACACACACAGTTCCAGGCTGAGCTCAGGGGCCAAGCATGCGTAGCAAAAATGATATTACTAAGCCACAGGCCCTCCGGCCCTAACTGTTGCTCACTGCAATGACTTTCATTGGGAAGGTTTGCTGTGTTGTAATGTCTTAAACTGACATTTCGAGGAAGAGTTACATTTGAAGGGCGATGACCTCTAAAAAAAACGTCTACTTCTGTAAGGTCTTTCCTTTTTCTGTTTGGAGTTTTGTTTGTTTCGTTTTGGGATGTTTTGTTTTATGAGACTTAACACAATGATCCTGCAGTCTTCACTGCCCTGGTTCTGGGATTATAGGCATGTACTACCACACCCAGAATTCTCTTTGTCTCTGAGAGGTGCATGCCTGTGACCAGAGTATAACAGCACTTATTTAAAGCAGAACTGCTGGCCAGAGAGGCAGCACAAGCCCGCATCATCCACAGAGCCACCCTTTGCCACTATTGAGCGGGGCCATCTGTTAGGACATAAAACAGCAAGAGGCCGTATTTGCCCAATCAGCTTAGATAATGATACAACATATACAGAAAATAGTGCTATACAAAACTTCCTACACTGACCGTGCCCAAGTGGTAACATTTTAATAATTAATTCCTAACAAGGACAGATTCTCAAGACCGTAATATGTCTTAAGCACAATCCTGCTGTCTGCCCCCAGGTGTGCAATGTGCTTGGTTTGGTTTCATTTCTTTGAGATATTGGTTCAATACAGAATCTGGGTGACTTGTTTGAGCCTGGAGGAGTAGGAGGTAAATTGCTGGCGGAGGCTTTCCCAGTACCAACACTGCTGTTCCCTTGTTTCCCAGTGCTGGGGCTGACGCTTCCCATATGGGCCATAGCTCTCATTTCCTTTGGCGTCGCTCTGCTGTTCGCCTTCTTCGTGTGGCTCTTCGTGTGTCCGTGGATGAAGAGGAAGATAGCCGGTAAGCAGCTTTTATTCTTCCAGGTTACAAAACTGCTCTTCATTCCTGAGGCTACTCCTGTAAATAAATGAGGGTCCTTAAGAATAAAGGAATTACGGCTGGTTGGCGCACGCCCTTAATCCCAGCACTTGGGAGCAGAGGCAGGGGGATCTCAGTGAGTTCAACGCCAGTCAAATTCCAGGACAGCCAGAGCTGTTTCAGAGAAACCCTGTCTCAGAAAAACAAACACACAAAAAAAGAGAGATTTTTTTTTTTTAGCCCGACAGTAGTGATGCACCGCCCTTAATCCCAGCACTTGGGAGCAGAGGCAGGCAGATCTCTGTGAGTTCAAGGCCAGCCTGGTCTACAAAATCTAGTTCCAGGACAGCCAGAGCTACAGAGACACCCTGTCTAGAAAAAACAAAAATGAAAACAAAACCAACAACAACAAAATAGAACAAAGAAATTAGAGGTGAGTGTAGTTCCTAGAACAACCCAGGGATGCAAACTCAGGCCTCTGGCTCTCCACATCTGTTTCTGGCTCATATAGTTCCTTGATAATTTGTGGGCCATGTGAGCATCATTATTTGTTTCCAAGCATAACTGTAAGTGAACACATAGGTTTTGCCAGCTCGGTAGAAAACATTTCTCTTTATGAAAATGCGGACAGTTATCATAAAGGATGGCGTGTGGCAAGAGTGGCGGAAAGACCGACAAGTCCAAGTGAAACGACTTGGATTCTTAGAGACTCGTGGCAGACTGACTGCAGAACGGTCTTGTAATTGTACTTCAGTGTGGGTACATCTCAGTTTGAACATCTGTGTTTAACAGAGCACTAAGGTAAAGACAAAGACTTTTGAACTGGAAGACTCAGTGTGGCCAAAATATTGGTTCTTCGCAAGCTGATTTGTATAAATAACATGAATTTAATTAAAATCCCAGCATAATATTTTATAGATCGAGACTTAAGCTCTTTATAAATCTATCCAGAAAGCCAAAGAAACTGAAATAGCCACAACGGTTTTGAAACTGGAAGAGCGAGACTTCCTGCCTTCAAGGCTTACTGTAAGTCTACAAGGCTGCGTGTGCTGGGAGGAGCAGACAAGTCGGTTAACAGAGCAGACAGATTCCAGGAGACCACATAGATGTGGCCAATATACTTCAAGACTGGTGGTTCAGTGGAGAAAACATAGTCCTTTTTGTTTGTTTTTCTTTCGAGACAGGGTTTCTCTGTGTTGCCCTAGCTGTCCTAGAACTCTCTCAGTAGACCAGGCTGGCCTGGAACTCACACAGAGATCCACCTGCCTCTGCTTCCCAAGTGCTGGGATTAAAGGTGTGAGCCACTATCACTTGACAAAAATACTGTCCTTTTTAACAGAAGTGGCCGAAATAATTGAAAGTCCACACACCAAAGCAGAAGCCAAGCCTTACTGTAAATGGTATGCTTTACTTTTACGTTAACTCGAGATGTACCACAAATCTAAATGTAAAAGTAATAAAGACTCTTTGGGGAGTAAGAACTTTGTGATCTTGGTTAAGCAAAGAACTTTGTCTGTGACACCAAGCATGGTCCACAGAAGAAGTTTACAAATTGTACAAGATGCAGATTGAAAACTGGCTTACTGAAAACACCATTTAGGGAAACTTTGTGTCATGAAAATGAATATATTAAGAAACTTTTTAAAATCGGCTAAAACATGAGCAATATATTTTTAATTTCTTTTTATTCTTTTTTATCATGCCCATCCTGGTGTGGGAGTTTGTGCGTATGAGAGCAGATGCCCGCAAAGGCCAAGGTGTCGGATACCCCTGAAGCTCAAGTTAGAGGCTGTTTGTGAGCCCCCAAAGGAGGTGTTGGGAACCAAACTTGGGTCCTGTGGAAGAACAGTGTTCACTCTTAACCTCCGAGCTCTCTCTCTCCAGGTGAAACAAACTGTTGGAACACCTTGAGTAGAGACGTTAAGTGGCAGATGAACCAACCCATGCCATGTTCACTGACACAAACAATCAGGGAATACAACATCAAACAAGCATTAGTTACTGTTTCACACCGTTCGAATGACTTTGTAACACATGACCATGCTAACTGGGAAGGATAAAAAAAAACGAAACAAAACACCACCACCCACGACAAAGCAGCTATAACCTGCAGGCACCCGGACAGTTCTTAGGTTATGTGTGCACAGGCTATCGGCATTCTTTGAACCAGTCCTAGGTATTTCCCCAGAGAAATCAAAAACGGAATTCACACAAAACTCTGCCCGTGGGTGTTTGCAGCAGCTCTGTCGCTGTCACCCAGAATGGAAGCCCCCCCCCCCACAGGTTATCACAGGATAAAGTGTGGCTCCACGCTCCAGTGCTCGGCAGTAACGAGGAACTGAATGCCACCCGTGTGGCAGCGTGGACGAGTGGCAAAGGCAGCGTGCTGCATAGAAGCATAGAAGAAGCCTTCTCACGGACTCACTCATCGTGTGATTCCGTCTAGGAGGCTGTCTGGAAAGCGCAGAGCTGGAGGGGGGCAGATAAGACAGGGTCGGTCCTCTCAGGCAGGGCTGGGCGGGGGAGTAAACGGGGACCTGGGGACTTCTCACACCCCCATTGTAGCGGTGCCTCTTGGGAAACTCAGAATCACACAGCTTACTATGTGTGAATTTTAAGAGTGAGAATTTTTCTGGGGCTGGAGTGATGGTTCAGCAGGTATGCGTGTGCACTGCTTGCCCGGAGGACCCCAGTTCAATCGGAATCTGAGTCCCAGCCTTCACATCAAGCAGCTCACAAGTGCCTGGAACTCCCGTTCCAGGGGAATCCAGTGCCTCCGGCCTCTGCAGACACTGCACTTACATGCATGTGTATGCACACACGCTAGAAATAATGAAGGGGCCAGAGAGAGAGCTCAGAGGTTAAGAGGACTGGCTGCAGTTGCAGAAGACAGGTTTGGTTCCCAGGACGCACACGGCAGCTCACGACTGTCTGTAAACAGTTCCAGAGGGTCTGACCCCAGCTTCCTGTTTCTTATTGAGTAAATGGAATCTCCTTATTCCTTTAAGGAAAAAAAGGTTTACTTGCGTCATAGAATCTGATATGATCAAAGAAATCTGAGACCAATAATTTATTGACCAGGAAAAAAATAACAAATGTATTTCATTTGTTCAAGACACGAATGATAAACATTTCTGTAACTCTAAGGCTAGTCTGTCTAGAACTGTGATAGATTTATAGAATTGTCAGCCCTGGAAGAGGACTGGACGATCAAATTTAAGGTTTTGGATATATTAGTAACTCAGCGTAAGTATGTATCATTTACTAGCTGTCTTCGAGAGCATGGATTGAATTGGTAGTGGTGGTGCACACCTTTAATCCCAGCCCTCAGGAGGCAGAGACAGGCAGGTCTCTGGGTTTGAGGCCACACTAATCTACAGAGTGGGCTTCAGTACAGCCAGGGCTACACAGAGAACCCTGTCTCAAAAAAACAAACCAAATAAATAATTAATTAATTTAAAAATAAAAAAAACATTGATTGAAGTTTTTATTTCCTCATCTAGCTATAATGTTTTGTTTCCAAGGTCAATACTGAAGTGTAAAAAGATATGTTCACATATTAGTATTTAATCATTTTATTTTTATTATATTTTAATATTTATTTTTAAAAGAAAATGAATGTGTTTCCAGAATCTGTACTTCTTTCCTTATCTTCTTTAGGCAAATTAGAAAAGACAAGCGCCTTATCGCGAACTTCTGATGAAAGTCTCAGTAAAGCCCAGGAGGTGGAGTCCCCCTTTAAAGAGCTCCCTGGTGCCAAAGCCAGCGATGACAGTGCTGTCCCCCTCACCAGCCCGGCTGGGGAGGCTGTGGGACCCTCCGAAGGCACATCAACAGGGAACCACCCCCGGACAGCCTATGGTAAGGCTAACTTGGAGCGCTTACGACACGGGAAGGAGGTAACCTGCCAGGCCGAGCATGGGTACAAAAGTGTTGATGGACAGGGATCCAACCCAGAGCCGACCCAGAGCCAACCCAGAGCTAAGCATGTGATTTTCCACTGAGTGCCGTACCCCCCACCTTAAATAAGCATCTCCTACATTATTTCCAGGACGGGCACTTTCCATGACTCACGGCTCTGCAAAGTCACCCATCTCCAACGGCACGTTTGGCTTTGAAGGCCACATGAGGAATGACGGTCATGTTTATCACACTGTACATAAAGACTCGGGGCTCTACAAAGACTTGCTGCACAAAATCCACGTAGACAGAGGCCCCGAGGAGAAGCCCGCTCAGGAAAACAACTACAGGCTGCTTCGGCGGAACAACAGCTACACCTGCTACACCGCGGCCATCTGCGGCATGCCGGTGCATACCACCTTCAGAGCCCCGGAAGCCTCCTCCGCCCCCGAGGACAGCGAGAAGCTGGTGGGTGACACGGTGGCCTATTCCAAGAAGCGGCTTCGCTATGACAGCTACTCCAGCTACTGCAATGCGGTCGCCGAGGCCGAGATCGAGGCTGAGGAGGGGGGCGTAGAAATGAGGCTGGCCTCGGAGCTGGCGGATCCCGACCAGCCTCACGAGGACCCCACGGAGGAAGAGAAGGAGGAGAAGGACACGGCAGAGGTCCACCTGCTCTTCCACTTCCTGCAAGTCCTCACTGCCTGCTTTGGGTCCTTTGCTCACGGTGGCAATGATGTGAGGTGAGTATCTTTATTCATTCAACAAATATGCAGTAGGGTCGGCTACGTGCTGGGAGACGTAAGTCTCTGCCACCGGCAAAGGGGAGCACAGACAGTAAGCAAGCATATAAGTACCCACCTAGAGAGTAGAAAGGGGTTCGCAGTGGCCAGTCAGCTAGCTACACGGGGAGGCTCTCAGAGCAGGGGCTAAACGAGGTGCGGGAACCGGCCACGTGACCATTGCAGGACGCGCAAACAGCTGATGCAGAGGGTGAAGTGGAGCGTGCCAGGACTGCTCTCAAAGAGCAGGAGACCTTGGACAGGGGAAAGAGGAGGCTGTGAATCAAGTCACGGCAGAGATAGGTCACGGTCACGTAGAAACGTAAAGGAATTGTGTTCTACTAGGCAAGGGAACGGCAGCTGGGGTCCTGACTGCTGTGCAGGCTGAGGCAGTGTTTGCTTGATCCCAGGAATTCAGGAGCTAGCCTAGAGAACACAGCCAGACCCTGTCTTAAAAATAAATTGTTCAGGGGCTGGGAAGATGGCTCAGCAGTTAAGACCAATTGTCGCTCTTACAGAGGACCAGCGTCCAATTCCCACCACCCATGTGATTGCTCATGACCATCCTTAATTCCAGTTGCAGGGGATCCAGTGCCCTCTTCTGGCCTCCATGGGCACCAAGCATATGTATCAGGGTGCACAGACATACATATCAAGAAGAATAAACACTTAAAGTAAAATAAATTCTTTACATTTTTAAGGAAACAAGCTTTGGAAGAAGGAAGTTTTTACTGTGAGAGATGAGGGAGCCACCGGAAGGGCTGATAGGCTAATGTACTGTGCGTTTAACCGGATCCTTCTGGCTTATTCCTTTTTTTTTTTTATTTTTCAAAACAGAGTTTCTCCGTAGTTTTTGGTGCCTGTCCTGGAACGAGCTCTTGTAGACCAGGCTGGCCTCGAACTCACAAAGATCCGCCCGCCTCTGCCTCCCGAGTGCTGGGATTAAACGCATGCGCCACCACCACCCGGCTCCTTCTGGCTTATTCCATGGCTGTGCTTATGGGATGGGAGAACAGTTAGGATGTCGCTCAGTGATCCAAGAAGAAAGAGCAAAGCTTGGAGCAGAAAGATGGTATAGTATTCAGGGCCAGGATATATTATTCTGAATGTGGGACAAGTGGAATTGATAAGCCATCCAATAAAAAGCCAGATCCTAAAACAAATCAACCTGGGGGACAAGCAACCCCCACCAAGCACTGTGGCCTTGGCATTCTCGTGTGGCAGAGGGACGGTGCCCAGATGCCAGGCCAGTTGTAAGAGTCTGTGTTATCAGTGGTGTCTGTGCCCACAGTGTGAGGATGGACTTATCTATTCGTAGCTAGAATCAGAAGCAGCGGAGATGGCAGTGGAAATGCAAAGGCGTTTGAGGAAAAAGGAGAAAGAGAAAAGGAACTCGGTTGTTAGCCAGGCAGTGGTGGTGCACTCCCAGCATTCTGGAGGCAGAGGCAGGCAGATCTCTGTGAGTTCAAGGCCAGCCTGGTTCAGGACAGCTAAGGTTACACAAAGAAACCCCATCTCACAACAACAACAACAACAACAACAACAACAACTAGCTGTTGCCTTTAGTCCACATGATTTTAAGTGCCTTTTCATAACCATATATTTTTATTTACACTGCTTAATTCCTCTTAAAATGGTTAAGATGGGAAATTTTCTGGTGTGCTTTTGTGTCATTTTATCACAGATTCTATGAGTAAGCTACAAATACAATAAGATTTAGCTAACTTTCAAAACCAAGAAGTCACTATATAGTGTGTATAGCGCCATGCCTATGTACAATTAACCTCCCCCACTTTTTTTTAACCAGCAATGCAATTGGTCCCCTTGTGGCTTTGTGGCTGATCTATGAGCAAGGTGGAGTTATGCAAGAAGCTGCTACCCCAGTCTGGCTGCTGTTTTATGGAGGAGTCGGGATTTGCACAGGTCTCTGGGTTTGGGGGAGAAGAGTGATCCAGACCATGGGAAAGGACCTCACTCCCATCACACCATCCAGGTGAGGCACGGGGGACGTCGTCTGCAGAGACAGGGCTTCCAGGTGGGGCTCACTGCAGAAGCTGAGTCAACATGTCAAGGATTTCTTGCCTTAGTTAGCATTTCTTTTGCTGTGAAGAGACACCATGGCCGCAGCAACTCTTATAAAGGAAAACATTTAATTGGGGTGGCAGCTGACAGTTTCAAGAGTTTAATCCATTATCATCAAGGTAGGGAGCATGGCAGCATGCAGGCAGACATCTTGATCAGCAGGCAACAGGAAGTAGACTATGACACTAGGAGCAGCTTGAGCGTAGGAGACCTCAAAGCCCGCCTCCATAGTGACACACTTCCTCCAACAAGGAGCACCTACTCTAACAAAGCCACACTTCCTAGAAGTGCCATTCCCTACAAGCTTACATTCAAACTACCACATTTCTTGTGCTGTTCTTCTGTAGCGATTGTTGTAGTGAGAAAGAGCAGAGGGATCCTCACTCCCTCAGCCTCTACCAGTCAGCCCCTTGGTCACCATTGCTGGCACCATTGCTGCTGCCATCTACACAAGCACCAGGATGGTGGTGGGAAGACACTGAGACAGAGCAGCGGGGAAATGCGGAGACTGCTGCAGTTTTCCATCTAGCCTGTTGTTCCAGTGCAGTGTGAGGGCCAGAGGACACGGCAAAACCCAGGTGCAGACTGGAGCCCGAGGCCTGTCTTCCTCCAGAGCTCCCCAGCCACACCCACTCTCCTACTCTAGGGCCCATCTGGTACCCTTTCTGTGTTGCTGGCTTCCTGTTGCCAGTATAAAACCCCCAGGTAAGCAGTGTCTAAGGAGAGCAGGCTCCCTGCGGCTCACACCTGTACAGCTCTTGGTCCTCATTCTTCAGGTGGACAGAGCAGTGCACATCGTGTGGGAGCCTGTGTCACAGGAGAAAACCAAAAAGCCCACCTCGTAGCCAGGAAGCAAACGCAAACATCAGAAAGGCCAGAGTCCTACACCCCCTCAAGGATATGCCCCAGTGACCCAGACACCCCCTTATGTCACCATCCAATAGCACCACCCTAGGGACCAAGCCTTTGACATATGGGCCTTTGGAGCACATAAACTCCAAAACGTGGCACCTGCCTCTCCCCCAAATTTTCAAGCCCTGAGATCTCGCCTGCCATCCTCCAGGATTGGGGGTGTGTGTACCTCTGCTGTCCTCAGTGTCACACTTAGTCATTCTGCTGTGTCTCGGCTTACAGAGTACAGCTAAAGTGCAGAACTATCTGCTGTGGGGAAACTTTCCTCCGTGTTTCTTTTTAAAACATATTAGGGGTTTCTGTTTCCTTTCATTTCTAATTTTCAGTTCCCCATCCTTAAAATTCATTTTAACAAAAGATTGTTTTAGAAGACCGAATTGAAGAAAAATTGGTCATCTAAAGATTGCTTTTTTGTAATAAGTTCACACTTTCAAGATGTGAACCTAGGTTTTTTTTTCCGTGCCCCTTTAGGAACAAGCAATTTATCGTCCTCCCGCACAGCAGGAATTTCTGACCCAGTTCCACACTTCAGGTTGGAAAACATGTTAGGAAAACAAGGTCATTGGATGTCAGCTGCATAGCCCAGTGCCCCGCTGAGAGCAACAGTGTCTTGTTCTCCTCATGGTCATCTGGCTCAGGCAGCAGTCCATAACCAGCTTACAGAATGTTCTGGCAAGCCTTCTGCAGCCACGGGGTGTCGGCAAGGCCACACAAAGAGCTCCTGTGACGTTGTCTTCCTGTTGCCCCCACAGTGGCTTCACTATTGAGCTGGCCTCTGCCTTCACCGTGGTGATTGCCTCCAACATCGGGCTTCCCGTCAGCACCACACATTGCAAGGTAGGTCCCTGCCAGCCAGAGACTGCCATTCAGAGGGGTGGCACAGCAGTCCAGCGGCACCAAGCGGATCTGAAAAAAGTCGCTAGACTCTGTACAGTTGCTGTGGGACTGCCAGGGCATTGTTGACTAGCGAGGAGGAGGAGGAGGAGGAAGCAGGGGTGGTTGTTTCCCTAGAATACCCCCCCAACCCTTCCTGATCCCCAGCATGGCACCTGTTGTTGAGGCTTTGCTTTCTCAGCACCAGTGGGAGAGCTTCCGTTTGCCATGGGCCCCTTACTGTTCCCCCCTAGATTGCTGTCTGAAGTCACGTGTGCACCAAACATGTCAGTAGGTTCACCTGGGATGTACCATTCAGTTCCTGCCACTGCACAGAATTGATTTTAGCAGTGGGACAGAAACAGAAGTAAACGAAACTTATTTCAGAGCAATTCTAAGATGTGACTACTTCCGGTTTCCCCCTTGAGAGTGACTCTGTTGCCTCAGAGTTGATTCCAAGCGAGGGGCAGGAGGTAATGCCGGGTGCCTTTGTGTTGTTTGTCCTGTTACTCACAGCTGACAGCTGAGAAAATTCAGGCTCTCAGGATTGACCCACTTTCCAAAGGTCCTACAGCTTGGATACAGTAGGACCAGGGATCAGATCTTCACCTAGTGTTCTGTTCCTCCTAATTGTGGTCAATTAGCAAACATCACCATGACAACCAATTTGACTCCAGTGTATCAGACAGATGCCCACTGGGCACTGTTGGAAGTGCAGTGTGAATGTTGACTCATTTGCTCGGGAGGAGAACGCTAGCATCTCCCCAGTCTTACAGATTGGGAATTGAAGAACAGAAGGGAGAAGCATTTCCCACCGAGGAGCTGGCATGGCATCCTGCACCCCTAGTACAAGGGACGAAGGCAAAGAAAGCTTGGCACACCCACCACCCGGCATCTGGGTTGCTGCAGTTTGGTTGTTTTTGAAATGATGAAAAGAGCCAGGTGGTGGTGATGCGCACCTGTAATCCCAGCACTCAGGAGGCAGAGGCAGGTGGATCTCTGTAAGTGTGAGTTCGAGGCCAGCCTGGTCTACAGAGTGAGTTTCAGGACAGGCTCCCAAGCTACACAGAGAAACTCTATCTCGAAAAAACAAAATTAATAAATAAACAAACATACATAGATAAATTGATAAAAAGGGTCTTGTAAAGCAGCTTAATGACAGAGTACGTACCTGGCACACAGAGGCCTTGCGTTTGACAAAAAAAGAAAATAAAAATTATCAAAGAAGCATGGGTTCACTGCAACACTTCAGACAACACAAAGCTGTATAGACTATGAAAAGTGACCCTCTCCCCGTTCATCACCCCATGTGGCTCTCTGTGCTGTTGGGGACTGAGAAAGCACCCTAAATTATATGCTCTCTTGAGGAGAAAAAGCACTTAGCTCTTCACTTTTCTATTGCATTTATTCATTCTTTTATTTAGTGCATGTGCGCGTGTGTGCACGTGTGCGTGTGTGTGTGTGTGTGTGTACACCTACATGCACAACATTCATGTGGAGATCACAGGACAACTGCCAGGATTCTGTTCTCTCCTACCATCATGTAGGCCCAGGGATCGAACTCACTTTGTCAGCCTTAGTGGCAAGCGCCTTTACACCTTTACCCACTGAGCTGTCTCAGCTGCCCACGTTTTACCGTTTCATAGGCATAAATGGTCACAGCTGCCTGACTTTTCTAGATGCTGTAATGTTATGCCCAGATCCTCAGAATTCCCCCAAAACCAACAAGGAGACCGAGTTCCGTATGTAAAAGCAAAGAGCCTTCATTCTACACAAGCTTGCAAATTCAGTCTCTCCGTGTGCCCAATGTACAGAAATAATCGGAGAGCCTGAGCTCAGTTAGAGTTGGGTTTTTATAGTAGTGAAGGTGGGGGTGAGGGGTTTCTAAGGTTCAGGACCTCTGTTTGCCTGACATTTGTCTAGGGGTGTCCTGGTGAATGTGTGCTGGCAGGTGATCCTAAGACCCACGTGGTGCCATGGTGTGTGCACACCCACATACATGTAACGTAAGTAAATAAACAAATGGAATTTTAAGAATTTCAAGGAGTGTCTATGGAGAAGAGCCCAAGCATACACTGCAGAGTAGGAAAGATCGGGCGAGCTGTGTGCTGGAGGAGAGATGGTTATATTCCTCCACTGCTGCCCATCGGGACTTCACAGAACAGGGCTAGTTTGATAGCATGAATTATGAAAATATAAAATGATCTCCCTAGAGAACTAGTGTGGAAGGACTCCGGGTCCATGACGCTCATCACGACAGACACCCGAGAGGTCAGTGTTTGTGAAGCCACTCCTAGTGTCTCGCCTTTGACTGTGATGCTTCTGCCTTGACAGGTGGGCTCCGTGGTGGCCGTGGGCTGGATACGCTCGAGGAAGGCTGTGGACTGGCACCTCTTCCGGAACATCTTTGTGGCCTGGTTCGTGACTGTCCCCGTGGCTGGACTATTCAGTGCTGCTATCATGGCTATCTTCATGTATGGGATCCTCCTGTCATAGGCGTGGTCTGTAAACGGCTCTAGGGATAGTCTACCATGGGCCTCCGTAGCCACACCTCTTCCCGCTCCTCCTCCACACCTGCACCCCCCACACACACCTTCCAGATGGCGTCATCGTGCCACACACTGCTTACCCAGGCCACAGACGTTCATCCTCCAGAGTTAGCCTAACTCCTGTACATAGTAGTATGTATCAGACTGATATTGTGATGACGTAATGTGGTACAGTTACTTATATTAAATATACATCGTGTACCTAGGATATCTAGCATCGATTTCAAACAAGCTCAGAATGAAAGCGGAAGAGAATTGCCTTGAGTGCAATACTCTGTTAACTGTACATAATGATTTCAGCGGGGGCAAGTGTTAAAAACTTTTGAAAGTGTAGGTTATAAAAATCCTTTTTTAAAAAATACTGTAATATAAGTGAGATACAGTATACTTAATACAAACTTGGGCAAGTTCTCAGGCCCTTGTGTGATTGCATCATGCTGGGACAGGTGTTCACAAGTGCTTTCTCTGAAGAATGTGTTCAGAAGCTGTGTATGAGTTACTGTGTAATGTATCACTATAGCTTTTGTAAATACTTCAACTGTAATTTTAATGGTCTGCTTCCCTTACACTTTACTGATTGGAGAATTTTGGAAAGTACCAAAGAAACAGGGGATAAATCGCCAGTATTATATCTTCATGTTGTTTGTTTCCTTCCCACTGGCCACTGCAGGGGGCCTGGTCCAGGAGCAGGCAAGCTCCTAGCCAGGGCAGCGAGTGTGGCTGGAAGCACCAGCCGCCCACCAGCAGAAGCCACACCGCTGCCATACCAGGTCCTGGTGAGCTTGTCCAGTGGCCTTTCACTGTCACCAGCGTGGACAACACACAGCAATGGGGTGTACGATTAAACACTACATACATATCAAGTCCAATCCCAGTGTCCCTCCCTGTTTCGCCCTGCAGCCTGAAATGCAGAGTTCTTGTCGTGAACAGTAAAGCCAGCGAGGCTTTTGATGTGCCGGATGCTGTAAATCTCAGGGCTGAGCGGGGAATATTAGAAAGGACACTGGGCTTGGGGATCCATGAGGCCTTTTTATGTAGAGCATCTGAGGTCGTCCTGTAGAGCCACTGTTGTCTTCTGACAGTGAGAGACAGTATGACTAAAATGTTAAGAGCCTGAAACCATGGAAATGCTGCTAATATTTTTATATTGACATACATTTTCACGGTACTTCATTGTAATTTTTTCATTAATCAACCATATTAAATTTATAATAAAAAAAAGTGCCCCTCAAAAGTTTACTTCTGAGTCTTTTTTTTCTTTCAGTGTTTCCACAAAAATCAAAACTACAATCTGGCCACTTGTGGTTTTCAAATACTTGTTGAACTTTCCTCTACATCTTCCTATTCTTCTGTGTTTGTACGGAACCAATACACAAAACTCAAAAGGGAAAGAACGGCCCCATACCCATATGCAGGCATCCCCACTGTGAACGTGTTCACCCACCCCACCACGATGTAACAGTGATAGAGGGGAGCTCCCGTTCCTGTACGGGGCTCGCCTGCTTGGCTCCTCATTTCTGTGGGCTCCCACTGGGAAGCCAGTCCCCTCTCAAGCTGGGAAGCTCAGGGTGAAACCTTTCATGTCCCACACTGTGACAGCAGTGGTGCCACCTAAGAGCTGGATGGGGTCCAGCTGGGCGCCACCCTCCAGGTGTGACAGTCTCGTCTTCACTTCCAGATCTGAAATCCTCTCCCTTTAAGATGGCACCTTCTGTCCCGCATTTGATGGTCTCAGGAGACTCGGTGTCCTATCACATTTATGGGTGAGAAAATAACAGCAAAGTGTAAGCATGCACTGCGCAGGCCTGCGGTCCCTGCCCTGGAGGGGCCACCTGGACGTCAGGAAACCCTAGCAGGCAAATGGCAAGGCTGAATCCCAGGAGAGGAAGCGGGTCTGGGGCTGGGAGGGCGTCATGCCTCCCCAGCAATGTGAAAGAAGCTTCTCCAAGGAACTCTCCCCAAGTCTGGTATCTGACAGAGATGGCTACTTTATATGCCATGCCAGGAGAGAAGGGAAAGACCCACTCCAACAGACTCCAACCTTACAACCACTGTCTGAGAGAGGCTCCTGCGAGTGATGATGGACAGTCAGGCCACACATGGGTTATTAATGCTCTCTGCTCCTGGAGAGGGTGTTGCTAGGTCCCCAAGGGAAAGAATGCTGAGTCTTCCAGAAAAGGGAATTCCTAAGTCCCTGACAAACTTGCCATGCAGAGGAAAGCTCCCTGGGGAACAAGAAAGCCATGCTCGGAGGAAGTGATGTCATCCTCACACGTGTCTTCCCTTTCCTGAGAGCCACATTGGTATTAATTTCAACAGGTAACTTTTAAGTAAGTCCTCCCCACCTCTTGGTCTTAAGTGACAGAGTTCTCAAGCAACAGAAGCCACAGTAAAATCCATCCCATAGGTTGAATGGGGTGACACGCACTTTTGGTTCCTACACTCGGGAGGCAGAGGCAGAGAGATCTCTGCAAGTGTCAGGCCAGCACACCCTACATAGCAGAAGGCCAGATGAGGGATCACGACTGTCCTTCCTTAGGATTTAGTGTCGTGTGAAATATGCATGCTGGTGCTTTGTTGAGGCCTCTTAAGGGAAAACTACTTCTAGGTCAAAAGGACAGAATTGAGTTCCCCCTCTGATCTGCCCCCAAGTATCACCTGGACCTGCCAATCACCTGGCCAAGGGACCACCTCCTCCTAGGAAAGCTGACTAAAGACTTCCTAAGGAGATGGGAGGAATAATTGTCACCTTCGTGAGATAATCTACCTCTCAGAAGCCCCTCTCCTAATGCAGTTACTTGCAGGTCTTCACTAGTAAGTCTTCCCATTTTTCTGAGTTCTAACTCAAAACATCTTTTTCGGGTGCTGGCTAAAGACCTAATGAAATGGTTTACAAGCTTCCTTCTCAATCTATTTTAAGGTTATTTTACTAGGAGTCTGAGAACCCATAAAAGAGAAGCCCAACTTCGCCGGTAACACTACTTCACCAGTGCACTTGGTTATAACAGACGTGAGGCTGGGAGCCAAGACAACAAGAATATGATGGGAACTACTTTTTGCTTAGTGTTCTTGTAACCTAAAACTACTAAAAAACAAACAGATCAGGCGCTAGCCTAGAGTTCAATAGAGAACTCTAAGACAGACAGCCCTGCAGAGACCCTGTTTTTTGTTTTTTTTTTAAAAAAATGTGGCTGTGGTGGTGGCATGGTGGCACACACCTTTAATCCCAGTGCTGGGGCGGCAGTGGCAGACCAGCCAGGTTTATATAGAAGCTCCAGGCCAGCTAAAGGGACATAGGAAGACATAGGAAGGCTGTTTCAAAAAAAAAAAAGAAACAAGGAGAAATAATGTAAACTCAGAAGGTAAAGCACTGCAGGATGACCTGGGAATAAAACTACAGGCTTAAGAACTTGGAAATGAAGTGCAAGCAAAGGGTGGTTGGCTCTGTAAACCTCTATAAAGAAGCATGTGAGATTAAATGAGGCTCAGAAACGTGTTTCAAGCAGAATGAAGGTGACCCAGAGCTCTTTCTGGGGACTGAAACCTAGTTGAAACAGCAAAAAGAATTTTGCCTAGGGTAGGATGGAGAACTTGTCGTTCCCAATTTGGCATGTTTTAACCAAACCCTGAACTCAGAAATTATGAACTACTAGGAGTAGAGGGAGGGGTGAGGAGATCCAAGAAAATGAACTGAATGACCCCAAAGGACTAGGAAAGCCGGTGTGTATCTTACGCTGGTACCACAGCGGCACCTAGCGGGGTCAAGTGTAATTGCAATTACAACATCTTTTCCCACCCTTTAGGCGGCTTCAGGGAAATCACTTAAGAAAATGTTAATTCTGGCATAGTTCAGAGTTGCAAGCAATGCCAGGAATTATCTTTGTGTCTCTGACGATCACAGAGGACTGTGGTTGCTTTTAGAAACGCCCCTTACTGAGAAACCAAACCAAATAACAGTTTTAGTTAGCTGTAAGCTAACATCCAGGACTATCGAGTGCAGAAAGACCCAGAGGCTTTAGGAAGAAAATGCAAGGTTATTTTCGTCTGGGGAAGAGCTGACCGGTGGGTGGGTGGGTGAGGTCGAAGTTTGCAAAGGGTAGACATGTGACCCAAATGGAAGGCAAGGATTCAGTTTGGGAAACCAGTGCCTGCTCAATATCCAAGGAGAGAGTTCTGCCAGGCACTTTGAAACCAAGGTCTGGAGAGTTCGAGTGGAGTTCTTAGGTAAACCAAGGTGAACATGGCGCCTCATAATCCATCTGTAACTCCAGTTCCCGGGGATCCAATCCCTCTCCCAACCTCCATGGGCACTGGGCATGCATGTAGTGCAGACACATGCAGGCAAAACACCCATACACATGAAACACTTAAAAAACACACCAATGAGAAAGCTTGCATGCGACCTTCGTGTGTCCCTGATGACCCCTCGAGGTACACTCCTAAGTGGAAGTACTGAATCAAAGAGCTGCCGAAGATAAATTCACTCTACAAGGGGGGCTTTCTGCTCCCAGGCGCCAGACTCAGGCTGTGGCAGTGGGGCACAAAAGGAAAGCCTGCTAACCCTGGCCATGTCCTGAATGAATCACTAAACACAAAGTCGAATAGTGGTCTTGGGACTCGCGCTGCTGTGCTGTGACGGCAAGGAGAGAAGGCATTGGGTGGCACTGTAATCAGCACCCAAGAGCCCGAGTCCGAGCCTGCACCAGAGCAGGGGAGCTGCTCTGCCTGGGATGCCTCTCCTGGCTCTTCCTTCTGACTAGAGGACTTGAGGACTCCAAGGCGGTCACAGTTATCACTGTGGGGTTTAAATGGGTCACTTCATATCAAATGACCAGCAAGGTGCTGGTATATGAACCCATGTGCTTCCTGTCTGCACAGCTTTGTGATATGGGGCTGCGGCTCCACATACAGCCCAGCCACCCACAATGCCACAGAATCACTGAAGAAAGAATCCGAATCTGTATTACCTTATCAATATCTAGAATATGGCTTCTTGGCTCTGCACTGTCAATAATTTAAGAGAAACAACATAAAGGAAAAATACAAATATGCAGAGACTGCCTTCTCTACTTAAATTGAAGGTATGAATGCAACCAACTTGAACAGTTAGAACTAAGAAATAACCACGTGCAGCTCATTAGCTCTGGCTACAAGGCTGAATGCTGCTCCAGCCTGTCATTTCCATGCCGACACCCTTATCCACACTAGACTGAAGAATCTCCTTGCGAAACAGTTCTCAGGCACGCTGTGATAGCTTCTGCCGTATACGGCTTCTTACTCTACCCGCACTGTGACAGAGTGGGCCCAAGCGTCCTGTCTGTTCACACCACATATGCTGCATGTGGGCTTTCCAATACAGGGTGAGGTCCACTGGCATCCATTGGCTGTGGTTTGCCTCCTTTACTTTATCTCTTGGAATGGTGTTATCCACAAAGACAACATTCAAGAAAATAAAATGTCATATGATTGCTATTGTAGGTATTTTCTGGGCTTTGTGGACCTAATCACCCATAACTTGGGTAGTCTAGCAGCTTTAGGACAGACTTTGCTAGTGTTGAGTACTATCTTACACTGCAACTTTTCAAAGAACAAATATGTCTAGTTATTTTAAGACAACCCATTTAGAAACAGCAAGGAATCCTAACAGGTGCATTTGAATATCAACAACCAGCAAACACGTATAAACTGCTCTTCTCATTGGCCACCTGGGAAGTATAAACCAAAAAGTTACAACCTTTCATCTGCTAAAGTGGTAAACATTCGAAAGTGGGCAACAGTGTTAATGTGTGTGATGGGATGGACAAGCACCACTGATAGAAATATAAACTGATAACAAATACTTGAAAGGTAAATTTGTGCTATTTTTATTTTTCTATTTGTCCGTCCATCCATATGTCTGTCCATCTGTCCATCCATCCGTGGTTTTTCCAAGACAGGCTTTCTCTGTGTATCCCTGGCTGTCCTGTCTGTAGACCAGGCTGGTCTTGAACTCATAGAGATCTACCTGCCTCTGCCTCCTGAGTGCTGGGATTAAGGGTGTGCACCACCACTGCCTGGCTGTGCTACCTATTAAGTGCTCAGGCCCTGCAACTAAGTTATAATCACTTCTAGAAATCTTACAGAACTACACTGTTCAACTCAACAACCACTAACTACACGTCATCATTTAAACAAATTAATTAAAATTACATTTCAAATTGAGTTGTTTAGTTGTCCTTATATTAAAAGTGCTATTAAGT